CAAAAAGGTTTGGATGTGACGGGGATAATGGCTAATTAGGTTTTGCTCATTTTTTGGCAAACACAAGTGACGCGACGCGTAATCCCGGGAACATGGGGTGATCCCGGCGCGTCGGGGGTGGTCGGACGTGAGGATGACATGTGGGGCCTCCATGAGCTGCGTTGCTTAACAAGCGGGCGAGTGGCGTTTCCTCGCATGCATGGTGCGTCGTCGTTGCCTCCCGCTCCCGCTCCCGACTTCTTGCTCTTCTCACGCTCTTCACCTTCGCATCATCTGTCTCTACTCCAAAAAAAAATTCTCCAATGATTTTTTTTGACAGGTACTAAAATTTGCTAAAAAAAACTAAAACAAAATGATAGAGAGAAGGAAAAGCCGTATGATGAACAGTTGCCGTAAAAACTCCTGCCTATAATAATATAATAAAAGTAAAAAAAAAACGTTAAGATTAGTTAACAAAATGAGTATACTAAGTAGATGGGAGGAAACTTAACACCATCTTAAACACCTAGGCGTCCCATTGCACTGCCACAAAAACCAAACACAGTACACACCTACAAACATAAAAAAAATGAGAAAAAAGATATAGAAAGACACACGGTATAAGACATTAAATTATCTTTATAGAAAATCAAGAGAAAAATAATTAACCGGTGCACTCCTTAGAGTTTTCCATTATCTAAAGGAAGATAGTCCTTGGGCAATTCAAGGTGTGAATTGTTATTCAAGTAAAAAGCTTATTTTCAACCTTCAACTTGCACGACAATCTTATTTCCAACCCTGAATTATGAAATTAGGCACCAAACGCCTCCATGGGTTGAAAGTGGACAAATTTGGTCCTCTAATTGGTTTCAAAGGTAGTTTTCAATTTTCTAAATATAATAAAAATTGATGTCATATAAAAACAAAATAATTTTCTTTAAATAAAAAATATGAATCTAATACCAATTTCTTCTTAAAACGTTATCCATTTGCTGGTTCTATATTTAATTTGAAGATATTTTTAATCTTATTTGTTCATGTTCTTATGTTTCATTACATGGGCAGTAAAATAATAAGAACATAAATAGATAAATTCTGAATAACTCTCACTACTATAAAATCAATCTTCAAAGGCCACAGCTATGTCTGCCTCTACGATATGGGTCCCGTTCACTGCGCTGAAAAAACAAACCGAAATACTGTTCCGATTGATTTGTTGTGAGAAAAAAACTCTGTTTCGATTGAAAAAACAAACTGAAAAGTACGGATTATAAGAGAAACAATGAGGGCTCATGGCATAGGCGGGCTACAATGCCCATATTTGTAAATAAAAAAAAACATCACCGCCCATCATTGGGCCCAATACCGAGCCACCCATTGATGAGCTCGTTGCCAATTCCAATGTGCATGTTGTCGCCTTGTGTTTAGAGCCGGTACGGTGTTGTTCCTGGCATGCAACACACGACTTGTACACACCAGTCTCTAGCACCCCTCTCCTCCCGTTGACATGACAGGGGGGCCAACAGCTTGCCCCTGACGGCGCTCCTCGTGGTTGTCGCCGTCCACTGCTACAACCTTGTTGTTGTAGCTCCTATGGTAGTAGCAGACTCAAGGATGCCATCGAGGATGGTGTACATGAACTAGAGGAGCTCATATCGACGACGTCTTGAACCACAAAGACAACGATAGCCATCATCAAGTAAGTGGGTCCTGCAAGCTGCATGGAGCTAGGGTGAGGTCTCGCGTTGCCATTGGGAGTGAGTGGATCTACCTTTGCTGCTAATGTTGACCCGTGCCGCCACCCAATCCACCTATGGGTGGTGGGAGGGAGAGAGATGAGAGGAGGGAGAATGATGGTGCAGCGGTAAGAACCCTATGTGTTGTTTATATATGCGGTCCATTGATTAGGTAGCTGGGCTACTAGAAATAGACTATATTTTCATAGGTGTGAGTATATTGGCAAAGATGGTTGTTTTTGGAGTGCCTTCGTAAATTGACTGGCTAGCTCTAAAGTTCACTAGGTTTTTTCAAAGAGAATTTGACTTATCTCTATAAATAACTGTGTATCCTAAAATTAATTTAGGAGCGTCTAATATAGATCACCAACAAATATATATCATTTTCATAAAAATGGTACTAGTTTCATGTTTTCCGAATTAAAATAAAGTAGTTTTGATTTTTGAAATTAAACTATATTTTTTTATTGTTAGAAAATAGGAAGCCAACTTTCAAATCAGCTAAACCAGCTAGAGGACTAAATTTACCTAATTTCAACCGTTGGAGGACGTCCTGTATCTGGTTTCGTGGTTTAGAGATTGAAAATTAAACTTCCGTACAAAATGGATTGTTAGAGGTTAAGAAACTGGACTTTAGCCTACAGAATTGTTGGTAAGCTGCCAGTACCACAGTGGCATGAAGCGCATGCATGCACGCAAACATTTGAAGTGCCTTTGACCAAAAATATGTATGCATTTTTTCCCATCCAACAATTCATTCTCACCTGCAGCTTGAAGTCATGAAAGACAGAAAGAGCACAATATACTGTTCACCGGGTATTATATTGGGGGTAGACCAAAGAAAGCAAGGGCCGGGAATAAAATAAAGAAAAAAGCAATAAATTGGATAAAAGGCAAGTTGGTCATCCTCTTCTCTGTAGTCAGTGCAATGACATGTCACTTACAAAGCACCAGAAATGGCAGCATGAGCCCAATAACTCATGCCTGGAACTAGAAAGTCGCACGAAGGATTTCCTCTTCTACTCGAGAGGCGCATGATTGACCGAGCCACTGCAGAGCACAGCAGCAGCCAGAGGAAGAAGAAGCCATCTCGCTCACTCTCGTCCTGTCCGATCAGAACGGGAGTTACGCGTACAGGTCGCGTAAAGGGCAGGCCGACAGCCATTTCCAAGCTTGCAAGCTTGTGATTAATTCCCGCCCATGGTTAGGTTACCGTGGTTTTCCGCTGATACCGATCAGAAAGCATTTAGATGGAGGTGAGGTGACTAGTCATGTCAGCTACTACAGCCTAGCTAGGAGTGGTTAGCTGTGTAGCTGCTGTTCCTTTGCTCTTTTCTGCTAGATGGACAGTGGGAGTTCCTCGGTTGTAAGCTTAAGGTCGATCCATATGCATCTTTGCTTCGGTCCTTCGGAAGTTGAGAGAACGTAGCTAGCTACTTCTTGTTTGTCCCTTAAACTCACAGTTCGTAAATGACATGGAAACGTGCTTTGTTTATAGAAGATGAGTTATTTTAAGGTAAGCAGAGTATTACTAGTATTAATTAGTCAAGTCAAGTTGGTGGAGTTAGGGCTAGGAAGAGAATGCACCTCAAGTGCTTGATGATCCATCTAGCTAAGTGTGGGAGAATACAACCAAAGGCTTAGTCGCCTCAAGTCCAATCATATGTTTGTTTGAGCTTTTGCTTTTGGGAAAAAGTGGTGTTGGATTGTGGATTTGGAGAAACTGGTTCTAAAGTATGGCTTTGGAAAGCTAATCGTGGAGAGTGTGGCTTCATTCAGGCAAAACTGATGATATTCTGTGTTATACCTTTTGAAAAGTCAATTCTGGATTGCCTTGTGACACGTAATAGCCCAAGTGGGGGACCTCGGATATACGATCTCTTGAAAAAACAACTCCAAACTTCCTTACACTGTTTTTCTTTTTCTTTTTTTTTTTAAAATGCAGAGTTGTGGAATCTTAGTTTCTTCTAAGGCACACTCTAGAACCAGCTTTTCCAAAGCAATGAATCAGGGGACGATGTCTGAACTCAAATTATGTGTTCGGTACACATCTTTGTTCGGCAGCAACAACTTTAACCAAAGCGACTTAATAGTGAAGTCTAAATTCATTTGTAATGCATGTAAAGTGCTCCAGACCTTGTTTGGAACAAAGATAATTAAATGAAACATGTAAATCTAATTTCGTTTCATTAAATCCACTATAAAATATATCTTGATAGCTAGCGCACTATATTACTTGATTGATGACAACAATTATTCATATATTTCTTCTATATACAAACTTGATTGAAAATCGGGAAATTTGGCTCAAGCCCAAAACTACAGCAACGTGCAATCTTAGAATGCATGGAAATTGCAAATCAAGAGGCAATATAATGATGGCCCAATAATGGTTGTGTAGAGCGAGCGGGCCGGTGACGTGACGAAGCTAGGTAACAAATGTCCTGTTCGCTTGGCTTATAAGCCGTATTTTTTCAGTCAACGAATAATATTTTTCTCTCACAATAAATCAACCAACAGTACCTTCAGCCATGACTTATCAGCCAAGCGAAAAGTGTATTTTGCTTTGCTTTCACTCGAGAGTCCAGAGTTGGGAGCTGAGACTCCGGTGCCAAGGGGTGCATCGGAAGAAAAGAGAAAGGAAGAGCCGAAGAAGAGGATCCGGAAGCCAAAACCGTGCTAATCGTTGTGCCAAAAGCCGCCACGGCAGACCGACCGACCACGACCAGACCGACGGATGCATGGCACGGTGGATTGGATCGCGCCGAGAGCGAGCCGGCCGGCCGGCCGGCGCGCGCTTACACCCACGCCGCGTCAGATCACGGGGGGCAGGGCGGCAGGCAGGCAGAGGCAGCGACGGCCGGGGCGGGCGCGGGCAGTGCACGGCACCACACGGCACGGGCGGGCGGGCACGGTGCCCCACGCCTTTCACGGATCCGGTAGCTGTCTCCGTCCACGCCGCGCACCGCACCTCGTCCTCTCCACCCCGAAATGCACACGCACACGCCTTGTCCTTCCATCCTTGGCACCACCGCCCGCCCTCCTCCTCCTCCTTATTACCACCAGCAGCGGCTGTTGTGCGGCTGCTCAGCTCTGCTGCCTCGCTCCCTCCTACAGGACCACCCCATTTCGTCGTCGTCTTCTTCTTCCTGCTTCTCCCCCCATCGATCTCCCTGCCGGCGCGGCTGGGATCCGCAGCCTGAGACGACGGTGGAGCTCGGCGGCGAGCAGCAGCAGCCGGCGGCGGAGGAGGATCCGCGCCGCCGTCCCAACACGCCACCGACGATGGGGCGCGGCAAGATCGAGATCAAGCGGATCGAGAACGCCACCAACCGGCAGGTGACCTACTCCAAGCGCCGCACGGGGATCATGAAGAAGGCGCGCGAGCTCACCGTGCTCTGCGACGCCCAGGTCGCCATCATCATGTTCTCCTCCACCGGCAAGAACCACGAGTTCTGCAGCCCCGGGACCGAGTCAGTACTTCTTGCTTGCTTCCTCCTCTTCCCATGCATCTTCAACTCACTCGTGTCCGGCCATCTCCTGCTTTTGCTTGATTGCTCGATCCCGTGTCGGTGGCTGATTTCCATGTTCTTGGCTGGTGATTGCCCGCAGCATCCAGACCATCTTTGACCGATACCAGCAGGCCATCGGGACCAGCCTATGGAACGAGCAGTATGAGGTCAGTCATCTCTTTTGTTTCACTCAAGCGAACCACTCGCTCGCTGCTTTACTCTTCACATGTTCGTCCATGAGATGATGAGATCTAAAGTTCTAAGCAATTTCCATGCTTTTTTGGTTTAAATCTCCCACTATATGTCTCTGCAGAATATGCAGCGGACGCTGAGCCATCTCAAGGACATCAATCGCAACCTGCGCACAGAGATTAGGTCATCAGCATAACCACTTTCCTCTTCCTGCTTCTTCCTCTCTTCGATCAGTTTATTTATTTATTTATTCCTCATGTGGATTTCTCAGCAGGATATTTCATACATGAGGGATTAGTCCTCGGTTTACATTAATTAACTCCGACGCTTTCTGATTTGTGTGTTCATCAATCAGGCAAAGGATGGGCGAGGATCTGGACACTCTGGAGTTTGACGAGTTGCGGGGACTTGAGCAAAATGTTGATGCGGCTCTCAAGGAGGTTCGCCATAGGAAGGCACGTACAAACCCTAATCACTTGCTTCAGCTCCTAGCTAGTTAGTTAGCTAGCTAGATCTGCAGACTGATGCGCTCTTCAGATCTGTCCATATTTCATGCTCCTTGCTGGTAGATCTTTGTGCATGTTTCCTGATTTGGTTTTGAATCTTATTTTCTCACTATTACATAGATCTCTCTGGCGTGTTTGTTAATTTGTTCGCGGGTGTTTTCTTGTGCTTGTGAAGTTAAAAAAAGAAGAAGATTTAGGATACTTTACTGGGAGAGGTAGATGCATCTCTTGTACACTAATTCAGTTTCAGTGTTCGATGCATCCAAACACTGTCAGTTTTTTTTTTACCTCAGACAACAACATTTAATTTTGCTTTGATATTTCTTTTAGCCTACTACAAGATTTAATTCTTGTTCTCAAAAGAAAAGGTAGCATCGGATAGAGAATTGTTGCTTCTAATTTTTAAGATCTTGAATAATTTCATCTCATGTCCTTGTTTTCTCATTTTCTCAAAAGAAAAGGTGGGATCGGATAGAGAATTCTTTTGCTGATCCTTTTCTCATTTGATTTTTTCAGTATCATGTGATCACCACACAGACTGAAACCTACAAGAAAAAGGTAAGAAAACCAAGCATTATCTGTTTACTAATACATTGCACAAAGATTGTCTCAGGTCAATTGGGTGATTTTGAAGGCTAGCTGCCCCCAATTTGTCAAGAAATATATTTATCTGCACCTATACCTAGCAGATCTCCTCCTCCTTTAGTCCTTTGGCGTCACTTGTGACCGTTTTCTTAATTTGGTCTAGTGGACATGCCAATATTTGCAAAAACAGGTCTCTCTGCTGATCATAGTTTTATAATCATCAATTTCCCCTTTTCAGGTTATCTAGATTTCTTTTATCTTATCTAAGTATGTCTTCTTTAAAATAAATATATTTGCAGCTTCAATAAGATATAAATAAACTTGCTTCCTTCTAATACAATGATACGCACACTCGTGCATATTCGAGAAAAAAAAAGATATAAATAACTGATAAACAAATCTCTCCCTGTCAATACCCACATCTACTTAAATCTACCAATAAAACCGAGCAGACATGGAGCCGCATCCATCCTCAAATCTTTGTACTTGCACATTTGACTCTTCAAGCAACCACATCCATCTTCAAATCTTGTACTTGCACGTTTGACTCTTCAAGTAGTGATGAAGCAAATATCTGACAGACACCACCACGCCTCAAGCTGAAACCTGCAAGCTATTGTCCAGTGTACAATAGCATGCATGTCTGTGCATTTCCACACTCAACTGCTCCATGTCAATCTGAGGCTCTACTGAAAGTAGCTCCACGTTGTAGAACTGCTAGATCTTGGTCCATCTCATGTGCTCGCATGCACGCACTCATACACATTGTATGCAATGCTGTATTCAATCAGTAGGCGCATTGGTCTCTGCCTTTTAGAAGCTAGGATGAATTGAGCACGAGCAAGCACACTAATGTTGGATCGGAGCATGCATCCATTGATCCATACGCATGCGTCTGCGTGCATGTCGAGATCTCTCTCGTTAAGCCTGCTAGCTAGCTAAGACTGACGCCTACAGATCGTGCTTATTCGGTCCCCCCGCTATCTGGGAGTAGCATGTTAAGCACTGATTTTTATGATATTGCACCATGGCGTGATACACCCACAGATAAGGACCAAAGTGTAGGCTTTATGATCTGCAGAAGTATGGAAATGGAACTCATTAGTATGGAAGTACTTTGGCTTGATTGTTACTGAATGTAGCCTGTCAATACGTACACAGCCATGTACTGTGTATATTGACTGAAACATTGCATCCAGCTCATCTCCAAATCACCCAAATATTTCTCTCTCTGGCACCTCACCCCCACCATGTGAAGGACACATATGTTGTCCATGAGATGCAAATAGCTAGCTCACCCTTACTTTGAGCTATGAGTTGCATAGTATGCCTGTTCTCCCACTCCCACATCATAAATATAGTACAGACATGTATACATTGCAGTTATGTTCGTTGAAAAACAAAATGCAGTTAGAATAATTATTGCCACAGTACAAACAATTGATTTTTTTCTAGAGTTTTCTTCGACGAAAGGAAGCATTTATGTTTCTTTTGTACAGAAACTCCAATGGGGAATCAAACTTATTATCAAACAAGCACCTAAAATTCTTCTGATGCTTCGGAGGAGGCCTCACTTTGTCAGATCAGCTCATTACAGTTCAAGTTGAATAGTGTTTTCCCTACAGCATGTCTATATGGTGTCATATGGGTGACATGAAGACTATATATTATATATACAACATTTGTTATCTTCTCCTCTTCTGTTTGTAGTGTAATGCATTTGACTTTTCCTGTTGCTATATATATACTCCTTAGTGGGACTGGCTAGTCACCACTCACCAGCAGGCAAATATGAGTATATATGACCACCAAGGCACCAACACATATACATGACCATGTATATAGTTGTACCACACTAGGTAGAAATGCTGCACGAAAACATAAATGGCTGGTGTTTAGAAGCATACTCAAGGGAGAAGCATAGTCACCGAGCAAACAAAGAGGACCATGTTTAAGCTATTCCTATGAACTGAGCTAGCTTCATATATCCCAGCAAATGACATTGCTAGACGATGGTTGCTTCTTCCTAGAAACTGCAAAGAAGGGAGGCAGTATTTTCGACTTTCTTTAGGTCTATTCATTACTCTCTTTGTCCCTGAATATAATTAGTCAAAAATTTTAAGTTTGATCGAATTGTATATAAAAAAGACTAATATTTGTGACATAAAATTAGTCCCTGTAATATTTTTTAAAGTTTTCGAATTGTATAGACCTTGCAATGTTGCTGAATTACACTGCTCGTGCATACATGCAGGTGAAGCACTCGTATGAGGCGTACAAGAACCTGCAGCAGGAGCTGGTGCGTGATCATTACAGTACACTAATAAATCTCAGCCAGCGCTGGTAGATGTGTCTATTAATTAATTTATTTACTTACTGATCATGCATCTAATCACTCCATTACTGGACACGTGAGTGCGTGCAGGGCATGCGCGAGGACCCGGCGTTCGGGTTCATGGACAACACGGGCGCCGGCGGCTGGGACGGCGCGGCGGCGCTGGGCGGTGGCGCGCCCGACATGTACGCCTTCCGCGTGGTGCCCAGCCAGCCCAACCTGCACGGCATGGCCTACGGCTCCCACGACCTCCGCCTTGGCTAGCATCCATCACCAGCCAGCGCTGCCTGCTGCTACCTGCATTGCCGCCGCCATGGGTGCTGCTCCGGCCTCCACGAGAGCACGTACTGCATGCACGCCAATGCAAGTTATTACTAGTTCATGCATCACCAAGCAAGCAGCAATATATATAATGCATGCAACCGAGGTATTGTAATAGCGAATAAGAATTGCTGCAAGCCCAGTGCTGCGGATGATGAACCGCTTATTTACCGCGCGCTTGTTTGGTGATAGCATTCGTAGTCGTCCCTGTGGCTCTAATCTAATAGACATGTATATGATGGTCCTGTTCATCTGCATGCATGTCGTTTGTGATTGTATTGTTTGTGTGTGTTCGACAAAAATGGTTGTCGTACTTTATTATGATCGTGTGGCATTATATCTATATTGTTGACTCTACTCCTATGTGAGACTTCGTTATCACTGTTCATCCAACAATACATGCTGATGGTTCGATTTTTTTTATTGTTTGATACTTCCAAAATAAAGAAGAAGAGGCATCGATCCTCACAAGACAGATACGGCCCACGAGTGGATTTCTCATGGGCAAAGCATCGTGCGGCCCATCGTGGCCTGTTCCGGAACGTAGGCCCAACGGTGGTCGTTGGTTGGGGATTTATTTTTGGGCATAACTGGATACTAAATGGTCTAGTGGACATGCCAATATTTGCAAAAACAGGTCTCTCTGCTGATCATAGTTTTATAATCATCAATTTCTCCCTTTTCAGACTATCTAGATTTCTTTTATCTTATCTAAGTATGTCTTCTTTAAAATAAATTATTTGCAGCTTCAATAAAATATAAATAAACTTGCTTCCTTCTAATACAATGATACGCACACTCGTGCATATTTGAGAAAAAAAAGATATAAATAACTGATAAACAAATCTCTCCCTGTCAATACCCGCATCTACTTAAATCTACCAACAAAACCGAGCAGACATGGAGCCACATCCATCCTCAAATCTTTGTACTTGCACATTTGACTCTTCAAGCAACCACATCCATCTTCAAATTTTGTACTTGCACGTTTGACTCTTCAAGTAGTGATGAAGCAAATATCTGACAGACACCACCACGCCTCAAGCTGAAACCTGCGAGCTATTGTCCAGTGTACAATAGCATGAATGTGCATTTCCACACTCAACTCCTCCATGTCAATCTGAGGCTCTACTGAAAGTAGCTCCACGTTGTAGAACTGCTAGATCCTGGTCCATCTCATGTGCTCGCATGCACGCACTCATACACATTGTATGCAATGCTGTATTCAATCAGTAGACGCATTGGTCTCTGTCTTTTAGAAGCTAGGATGAATTGAGCACGAGCAAGGACACTAGTGTTGGATCGGACATCGGAGCATGCATCCATTGATCCATACGCATGCGTCTGCATGCATGTCGAGATCTCTCTCGTTAAGCCTGCTAGCTAGCTAAGACTGCCGCCTACAGATCGTGCTTATTCGGTCCCCCTGCTATCGGGAGTAGCATGTTAAGCACTGATTTTTATGATATTGCACCATGGCGTGATACACCCACAGATAAGGACCAAAGTGTAGGCTTTATGATCTGCAGAAGTATGGAAATGGAACTCATTAGTATGGAAGTACTTTGGCTTGATTGTTACTGAATGTAGCCTGTCAATACGTACACAGCCATGTACTGTGTATATTGACTGAAACATTTCATCCAGCTCATCTCCAAATCACCCAAATATTTCTCTCTCTGGCACCTCACCCCCACCATGTGAAGGACACATATGTTGTCCATGAGATGCAAATAGCTAGCTCACCCTTACTTTGAGCTATGAGTTGCATAGTATGCCTGTTCTCCCACTCCCACATCATAAATATAGTACAGACATGTATACATTGCAGTTATGTTCGTTGAAAAACAAAATGCAGTTAGAATAATTATTGCCACAGTACAAACAATTGATTTTTTTCTAGAGTTTTCTTCGACGAAAGGAAGCATTTCTGTTTCTTTTGTACAGAAACTCCAATGGGGAATCAAACTTATTATCAAACAAGCACCTAAAATTCTTCTGATGCTTCGGAGGAGGCCTCACTTTGTCAGATCAGCTCATTACAGTTCAAGTTGAATAGTGTTTTCCCTAGAGCATGTCCATATGGTGTCATATGGCTGACATGAAGACTATATATTATATATACAACATTTGTTATCTTCTCCTCTTCTGTTTGTAGTGTAATGCATTTGACTTTTCCTGTTGCTATATACTCCTTAGTGGGACTGGCTAGTCACCACTCACCAGCAGGCAAATATGAGTATATGACCACCAAGGCACCAACACATATACATGACCATGTATATAGTTGTACCACACTAGGTAGAAATGCTGCACGAAAACATAAATGGCTGGTGTTTAGAAGCATACTCAAGGTAGAAGCATAGTCACCGAGCAAACAAAGAGGACCATGTTTAAGCTATTCCTATGAACTGAGCTAGCTTCATATATCCCAGCAAATGACATTGCTAGACGATGGTTGCTTCTTCCTAGAAACTGCAAAGAAGGGAGGCAGTATTTTCGACTTTCTTTAGGTCTATTCATTACTCTCTTTGTCCCTGAATATAATTAGTCAAAAATTTTAAGTTTGATCGAATTGTATATAAAAAAGACTAATATTTGTGACATAAAATTAGTCCCTGTAATATTTTTTAAAGTTTTCGAATTGTATAGACCTTGCAATGTTGCTGAATTACACTGCTCGTGCATACATGCAGGTGAAGCACTCGTATGAGGCGTACAAGAACCTGCAGCAGGAGCTGGTGCGTGATCATTACAGTACACTAATAAATCTCAGCCAGCGCTGGTAGATGTGTCTATTAATTAATTTATTTACTTACTGATCATGCATCTAATCACTCCATTACTGGACACGTGCGTGCGTGCAGGGCATGCGCGAGGACCCGGCGTTCGGGTTCGTGGACAACACGGGCGCCGGCGGCTGGGACGGCGCGGCGGCGGCGGCGCTGGGCGGTGGCGCGCCCGACATGTACCACGCCTTCCGCGTGGTGCCCAGCCAGCCCAACCTGCACGGCATGGCCTACGGCTCCCACGACCTCCGCCTTGGCTAGCATCCATCACCAGCCAGCGCTGCCTGCTGCTACCTATATATCTACCTGCGCATTGCCGCCGCCATGGGTGCTGCTCCGGCCTCCACGAGAGCACGTACTGCATGCACGCCAATGCAAGTTATTACTAGTTCATGCATCACCAAGCAAGCAGCAATATATATAATGCATGCAACCGAGGTATTGTAATAATAACGAATAAGAATTGCTGCAAGCCCAATGCTGCGGATGATGAACCGCTTATTTACCGCGCGCTTGTTTGGTGATAGCATGCGTAGTCGTCCCTGTGGCTCTAATCTAATAGACATGTATATGTTGGTCCTGTTCATCTGCATGCATGTCGTTTGTGATTGTATTGTTTGTGTGTGTTTGACAAAAATGGTTGTCGTACTTTATTATGATCGTGTGGCATTATATCTATATCGTTGACTCTACTCCTATGTGAGACTTCATTATCACTGTTCATCCAACAATACATGCTGATGGTTCGATTTTTTGTTTTTTTTGTTTGATACTTCCAAAATAAAGAAGAAGAGGCATCGATCCTCACAAGACAGATACGGCCCACGAGTGGATTTCTCATGGGCAAAGCATCGTGCGGCCCATCGTGGCCTGTTCCGGAACGTAGGCCCAACGGTGGTCATTGGTTGGGGATTTATTTTTGGGCATAATTGGATACTAAATGGGCCTAAAGCCCTAATACATACCACCAGTTCTTTCTTCCTTTTCCTTTTCCTTTTTGTAACCCTCATCTGCCTTTCTTTTTTAAGAAGGATCTTCTCCTTTTTACTACGACCCGTCTTACCCCTTTGTGGTGTGTGTGTAAGGTTCAACAAGTAGGAGTATATATATTTTACTTGTTTTCTTTTGCACCTGAACGTCGAGCTAGTTCTGGCCAGACTTACTCTTAATAAAAAAAAAAAGATGGCATTTTTTACTCATTCTAGTCCCTAGGAGAATGTGATGCTATTTGTCGGCCTACTACTTTGGAATCCACTGTGGTTCGTTGCTCCTCCAAAAAGAGAGAGAAATGCATGCAGTTGAAAAAGAAGAGAGAGCGAGACCCAAAGCAAAAGACACAAACAGTGTCTTTTCGGCGCCGTGTGCTTTAATGTCGTGTGCTAAGCATATGCTGCCACTCTTAATAATGGGAACTGATTGCGGAATCATCATCATGTTGATTGCTTTTTTTTAATTAAACACCAGATGCTCATTTATTTCTTACGAACACTCAAAAACTCTACCAAGGTCTAGGGTAATGACTGTAGACTAGAAATTTATACTGAGTCCAAACAATTGTCATAATAAAAATATTTACATAGAAAAAATACAGTATTTCTCTTTGCTAAAAAGGAAAATTTCTTTGCGCTTCGCCGATGAATTGGTCGGGCGATGGCTTCACCAATATATGTGTAGAGTAACCAAGTCACTAACTCAGTATATTCACATCATTTATCGCTCTTATAAGCATCTTCCAAATAATCATACTGATTAGTAGCTGAAAATGAAATAGCCCAGTGCTAGACAGCCTCCGAGGAATCGTGGATTATTTACTGTTCGGGAGGCCGTATCATATCATGGATTATTTACTGCTGGCTGGTTTGGTGTGAGAGAAAAACATTATTCCCGACTGAAAATTTACGATCGTTTACGAGCACGCGAACAGCCAAGACAATAAAAAGGCTGCTTGGACCGAGAACGGGACGGACTGGGTGGGCTTTGGGCTCAAAGGTAACAAACACACCGGACTTTCTGCAAAAGAGCACCAACAAAGGCAGATGGGCCGACCTGACGGCCAGGATATAATAACGAAAATTAAAGCGGACATCACATGACCCCCAACATCTTCTAATTCCAATATCCCATCACAAGCAGAAAGTATGTAGTATTTGACACTCTGACACTGATGGAGATATACACATCATAATCATACTGCATCTCATCATAAATAAAACCAAAGGTCTTCTCTCTTTCTTTCTCTCTTAAAAAAAAGAGACAGTCATGTTCTGTTGTTTCTTTTGGTCTTGTGGCTAAGGCCCCATTTAGATGTCCCCAAAACCCAAAAATTTTCGCACAGTATCCGTCACATCGAATCTTGCGGCATATGTATAGAATACTAAATATAGACGAAAAAAAACTAATTACACAGTTGGCCGAGAAATCGTGAGACGAATCTTTTAAGCCTAAATAGTCCATAATTGGACAATTTTTACCAAACACAAACGAAAGTGCTACAGTAGTCAAAAGCGAAAAATTTCCGGAACTAAACACGCTCTAAATGCAATGACCGAAGGCTGGACTGACAGATTCAAACCTCATCATCACAAGATCAGAATTTGTCTTTTCCACAAAACAAGACGAGAGCTTGGACAGGGCTCACGTTATGTTGAAATCAAATAAGAGGATTCCGGAGTAAGTAATCTTCTTTTGCAGAGCCACAAGTCAAGGTGTTATAATCGGAGCAGGGCCCACCAGTCGGTGGGGAAAAAGGTCGTCTTTTCCTTCTCTCCTCATCTTTCCAACAGTGACCCAAGAGACCTACCTATGGGTTTCTTTTGTCCCTTCTGTTTTGGCCATCTTTGAAGCTGCATCTATCTATCTATATCAGCATTGCCATCTCCCAATCAGAGCTAGAGTCAACACAAATAAAAATCTAAAAAGCTCTATCTGGATAGTATGATCGATATATCTTAATGATGTATTGCACTTCGGTTGTAAAATTACAAACTTCGGTTGTAAGGTTAACTGTTTTTTCTAGGGAAACAGGACAGGGTGCTCCCCCTACTTTGCTTTTATTAAAAAGGAAAGAGTTCTTACAACGTGAATCAAGAGACAAAGAAAGAAATGATTTTTTTTGTAGAGTTACACATAAGCTTCTAGCCATTGAGCAAACAAAGGTGCTGAGCTTCGTTTTGCTCTAAGTATAACTTCAGCAAATTCCCTTAGAGAGACTGCCTTGCAGTGATGAGCTGAGGGCTGCACATGCTGGAAAATTGCATCTTTTGGGACGGTCTCGGTGGACCAGCACATCGTGACAATAATCTCCATGAAAAAGATAACTAATTTTTAAAGGAAACCAAGGTCCCAAACAGATCAAAAGGCTGCTGAGAATAACCAAACCAAGGGTTGCACAAACATGATCTTGCAAATGGGAAGGCCAGGAAGAGATGGACAAGAGAGTCTTCCAAGGCAAGGTCGCAAAGAACACAGTTGTAGTCATCAAACGCCATCGTTTTCCTTCTTAAAGGTTAACTTTGCATCTAGACAAGTGTTTTGTTAGTTCGTAATCACAGGTAGCCATCAAATTTACGATCCATACCCAAGTGCAATGAACAACCTGCATTTATGAGCAGTGCCATTTCCCAATTACAGGTTGTAGCTGTAGCAGTGACACGCCTTGCAGAATTTCTGCCAAACAACGCTCGTTGTCTATGTTACGAACAAAAGTGGCTGCGGCATGTGTAAACAAAGAACACACGTACGTTGTCGAAGACCTTATTAGCAATATACACGTACGTACATGCATATGTAGAACATGGCATGCCACTGTACCTCCTTCGCATGCATGAGCACACTGATTGATCGATCTGGTCCCGCCTAGCGCCTAGCGGCACCGCTCCGTTCCGTCAGCGCTGTTGGCTTGGCGTGATCTCCGCATCTGACATTCTGACTTGGGCAACTCGGCGGATGTGTCGGCAATCCGGTCTGGTGTATGGTATGGACGACCGAGACAAGACCCATACGGCCATACGTATCCATACACGAGTCTCCTGCGGGAGGAGAGAGGTCGACGACGACGATTTTGATGAAATAGAGACTGATCTTTTCATAGCCATGCGAGCGGAAGATGTAGTCGGACCAAACCACAAATATGTGATTACATTACCATTTCTCAATCGCTAGCTGGTAGTCAAGAAATTTATTATCATTAGTCACTAACCTACGACCTGCAACCACTACCTGCTGGATTGTTTGAAAAGCCACCAACAAGATTTTTGCTGTGCATGTATTAATAGAGTAGAAGTACAACAAAATATTATTAAAAAAACAAAACCAACCACCCTCCTCAATAAGGAGCAACAACACGACAACCACCGCAGAAATACACTGCATGAAAGGATCAAGATGCCCAAGAGTAGAGTGAATTAGGCTAATTCTAAATTTACAATAATTAAGCCCTACACTTAGCTCATTTCACCCCTTATGCCTAGAATGTGATTCTATTGTTCTCTCGCATAAAAGTTTTGCATCCTAGATTCCAATCCTACTCTAGCGTGGCAATTCTAGAAATGTAAAGACATGAAATGAATTGCTCAAATGTAAATGCTCAAAGAAAAGAGAGGGAAAGAAACACGGCGATGTTTTTCCGAGGTATCGGAGAGTCGCCACTCCCCACTAGTCCTCGTTGGAGCACATGTGCAAGGGTATAGCTCCTTCTTGATCCGCGCAAGGATCAAGTGCTCTCTACGGGCTGATTCTTGGACCCTCCGTCACGGTGAATCGCCCACAACCGCTCACAACTTACTTGGGTTATCCACAAGCTCCACCGGATGATCACCAAGCTTTCAATCACCACTGAACCGTCTAGGTGATAGCGATCACCAAGAGTAACAAGCATAAACTCTCACTTGATCAAGACAAGCCTAATGAGAAAAGTGGATGCACACTTGCTACTCCCTATACACTAATGAGGTCCTTAATCTTAGATTGTCAAATCTCAATCACTCCACTAGGCTCTTGCTCTTCCTTACACTCCCAAAGTGTTTCTCAGCTGAACAAATGGGTAAGAGACCTCCCATGAATGAGTGGAGTAAGTATTTATACCCCCTCATTCAAAACATAACGTTTGGAGGCTGAGTCATCACTCTACGGGCTGACCGAACGCTCCGGTCAGTTGTACCCGTCACTGTGTCAGAGAGAGCCGTTAAGCTCTGATCGGACTCTGACCAGCGCCCGGTCAACACCCACCGGACACGTCCAGTCAGGAAAAAGCCTCTGTAGAA